ATCTGTCATAATAATATAAAATAACAAGTTTGATGAGTGATGGTGTTAAGCTTGGATTGTGAAGGAGAAAACACTTGTTATTTTGTGTAATTTGAATAGTGAAATAACAAATTGTTGTGTTTGGTTCTAAGGGTTCTAACTTTAGCACTGTTGGTAACACTTTCCCCCACTCAATTGGATAGATAGTTCGTCCTCGGACTTCAAACCAAAAGGGCTAGAAAAATATTCCCATTGTAATAGATTGCAAATGTAATTGGCTATATCGCATATTAACCATAAAAAGTGATTCAAAGATAGAATATGTGACTTAAGGGGCATTAAAACCATCAATAATAATTTTTATTCGACTAGGGCATATTAGTGATTGACTATTTATAACATGAAAGAATAACTCGCAAACGAGTCATATTCTTAATTGAAACATATCGTTCTATTAGGGTTTCATTGGGATATCAAAGATGAGGATTTTTTTCAATTTAAAAGATGTAAATGTTGAAAATGTTTTATTTATTCAATTATCCTCCAAGATTAGACTTTTGACTGATAAGATTTACAGATCCTATATGTAGAGCCCACAAAGTGACCTTTCTAGCATTTTAGTGAATAGGAACTGCAATTGGCTTGGATTTTTACGGCTTGTACCCATTTGCAGAATCTAAATAATAAGAAATATATGAAAATTTGCATAACTTTGGTGAGTATCATGAAAATGCATATTTTACAGCAAATGGAGGTCACCTCTCAATTGTCTTAAATTACACATTTTCTCCTGGCTATCTGTAATATTTTAAAGGGCAAATGATTTTTCAAGTATCTTTGATTATTTTTTGAATTATCTCATTTTTAAGTATCTTTTAGTATTTTTACTGCAATATTTCACAATCTCAGTCTTAGTAATAAAAATTGTCTTCAGACATTAAATAGAAATTGTTTTTAATTGGATGAATTCGTTCAATATAATCAAAGCCTAGCGTAATCCTCGAAAAATCTTCACAAGCAAATCTCTTATAATGTAAGGAAGTCTTTGGAAACACTTCAACATCAAATGAAAAGATAATCGCCAATTTACAAATCTAAATACAATAGCTTGAATTCCGACATCAGGTGTCGAAGGATTTCTAAATAAATTCACGCCTTTGATAATAACTTTGATTGAAGCGCTAATTTTATCGGTTAAATACATATTCTATTGTTCGTTCTGCACAAATAACATATGCGTCTCATGAATGGCCTTTGTCCATCTCTTCAAATTGTCACACATTTCTGCAATTTTCCGATTGGTTTTCTTTATGTTTGTTTGAGTGATTTTGTTAGTTGCAATAAATAAAATATCATCTTGGTCATATTTAGATTGGGAAATTCATAGAAAAGAAGACGTTCTAGCAAGAAATACCCAAAATATTCAAGAAGTATACACATTTCACCTTTTTTGACACACAAAAATATAGCTTTTTTATTATTCAAAAAAAGCTATCTATAAAATCATTGTAGGACCAGTGGTGATTTTGTTAACAGGAAACTTTGGTTTTATTTGAGGGTGATTATTTACATATCAGATAGATTGAGACTGATCAGGCACTGAAGCTGGAGTTAATAAGCATGTTCTATCCAACCTCATCCTCAAAATATCACCTTTCGTGCTTATTTCTCATCATTTCTCTATAAACTTTGAATGAAGTCTCTGATTTCCTTGTATATCTGTGTAATAATGAATGTCAGCTATGCCCTGTTTATTTTATTCCTTGCTGATTTCACTGAGTTTTACCTATTCTTCAGTTTGAAGGAATGACCATTTGGTATTTCTCTACTGGGTAAGAACTTCTGAAAGTGTTAAACTTGCAAATGACAATTCATGATAATTAGAGACTACAGTTAGCTGTCTTCTAAATACATCTCTTAAGGAACTACAATATTTAATGACCAGATATGCTTGAATAAAACATAAAAATTCAATTCTTCAATATTTATTAAGCTTTGAGCATAAAACATGAAATTTTAGATTTAATGATCTCAGAATATCCATCACATTGATTATGTATATCAGCTTGTTGAAAACTATTTTGCATTATATAATTATGTTAGGTCATAATGATTTTATATTACCATGGCAACCAAACTTATGATTAGCAACTCTAAATCAACAAAAACATGAAAAATATAGAATTGCCATATTTGGCAATGTTTGCCTGACTGACTTGTATATGCATTCAAACTGTACTTTTGGTACCTTTAAAACTAAAAAGTGTTCCATTTGGGAGGTCTTCCAATTAAAGAGGTTTGTTAAACATTAATTAAGTCAGTTGATCTTGGGACTCTGAAGTGTTCCACTAACTGAGGTGTTCTACTTCTAGAGGTGTTCCACTTTATAGGTTTCACTTTATATCACATTTACAGCTACATCTGGTAACAGTGTGTTATCTATGTTCAAGTTTAGAAAATTATTTTAAACAAAATATGAACCATTTAATAATCGATGTGATATATTGACATTGATACATTGGCTTTATTTTGGATATACGTGACACATAGCATGCGTGATATTCAGATCTAAAATAAAAGGCTAAACTGACACAAAAGGGCTCAATTTGTTAGTGCTTATTTTGGTCAAAAGCATTCTGAAGTGGAATTAAAATAATTAAAAAACTATTTTGAAAAAGTCAACTTTTTACATTTTCAACTTAGTTGAAATTTAAGTTCCGGGGCTAGAGGGTTTTGAGTTTGATCACGCTCAATTTCCATATTTTATCCATTCCCAGGGGGCCACATGCCTCTGTATGTATAAACAGATTCAATCATTTTTCTTTGAGGAGTTCTAATTTTGATGTGCATGCGGAATGAAATCATTCGATTTTGAGACAATAATACGCTCACGTCTCTAATTATAAGGTTGAATTCTTCGACTAGATGGTTAAAGAGTTAGTACTGACGGGCCAACATTGACTAATGTATTTCCCGAGTTTTATCCCTCTAGAGAATACTCCTTATAACCATGCAACATTCAAATCAAATAAGTTTTTAAAATCGTTTAAATAAAGATTGATTCGGCTTACAGTTTCCTGGCAGGCAATAAGTTATTTCAATCATTTATGCGACCAAACTATTTGTATAGTTCAAATTCTAGCCATCTGACAATTAATTTCTATTAATTGGTAGCTATAGCAATCCATATCCATAAAGGACTTTCTTAAATTGAATCCAGCAGTTTGGGAATTGACTCGTCTTCTTAATAAAAAATGACCTTGTAGGAATATTTTAAATTGTGTTAATCATAGAAAATGGTGGTCTTTTAAAAAAAGTAAAAAAAATAGCGTAATACAGTGGAGTTCAACATACATTTGTAAAATTGAAGAATATTAAGAGAATTATTAATTCAATTTTCTCCTGACATGTTTCCCCTATTCTGATTAAAGATGTTAACACAATAGCAATATCAGTTCCTCATGTCGTGCTTTCTTACATTTAGCCCTTAGCCCACATATCAAATTGCAGTATTTTCTTGATAATACATAGGGGCAATATATGGGATTGAAATGATACAAGTACATGTGCAAATGTATTTTGCAATTTCTGTCTATGATGCATGATCTGATGTTTTTAATTTTCAATAAAAAATAACATTTTAGCCTCTACTTATAATTATTCATTCATTATGTATTTGATGATAGTACGTACATGAAGTTATAATTCTATCATAATTATTATTAAGTCACATGATCAATTACACTGTTATACCTTCCATACAATGGCTGTAGAATCAGCATTTGCCAGTTCGTTATCATTCCAAATTTAGTTATAAAATCAGCATTTCCTATTTCACTATTATCCCATAATGTGGCTATAAAATCAGCATTTCCTATTTCACTATTATCCCATAATGTGGTTATAAAATCAGCATCACCTATTTTATTTTTAAGGGGAAGATACATTCAAATTCTTAATCTGTTCATTTTTGAATTGACCCCTTATATACGTAGTCTCATCGTACAGGGTGTTTCAGAAATAATGCAATACACAAGGTACAATGTATATCTTTTTAATCAATAGAGCTTTAAAGATCTTTTTGGAATAATTAAAGTTGATTCAATGTTCTTTAAGGTGAGCAAGTTTCATTACTGACTGGCAAGTGGGTGACCCATTTTCGGTTGCCCATATAAAAATGTGCTCCAAATTGCTACCACCTCTCATGGGTCAGACTTGCAAACTGCCCTATCTTATATGTCATCTCTAGTTATCGTTCAGGATAAGAGCCAATGAATGCACACATGTCATCAATAACATCACACAAAATGTGCAAGTCTGTCTGCAGAAAAGTGGTGGTAGAAATTTGGGGAGGGTTCATTAAATGGCCAGCAAATGGGCCGTATACAAGCTACAGTGATCAAACTGTGTCAACTTAAAGAACATTGAACCAAGTTTAAATATGCAAAGCAACATTTGTCATGAGATTTGTTCATTTAAAGGAAGACTTTTGGTATTGGGAATGATTTCAAAATGTCACTTAAATGCCATTTTGGTCAATAAATTATATGTATAAATATATATATAAATTATATGTTATAATTAACAGGCCCGTAGCCAGGATTTGCCAAGGGGGGGTTCACTTTTTGGAAAATTCCAGGGGGGTTCACTTTTGACAATTTGGGTCCAAAAAGGGCCAAAATCACTAAAAAAGTGCTCAGAATGGTGAAAAACTGCATGATTTTGAAAGAATTTTTGGCCAGGGGGGGGGGGGGTTCGCCCGAACCATGCGAACCCCCCCCTGGCTACGGGCCTGATTAAGCATTATATGAAGTATATATATAATATATATATCATTTAATTCAATAACATATTGGATGTCCTGCTGTAAAGATACAATTTGACCATTCCATAAATGGTATTTTAGTGACAGTTTGAAATCATTTCCAATAAGGAAGGCCCTCTTTCAACAAAGAAAAAATGTTAGAAATTTAGACATTTAGAAATTTTAGGAATACATGCATGTAATTTGTCTTTTTCAGACAATGTCAGTGATTTTGACTTCAGTCCTTTCAATGGGCATGTCCTGGCCACAGGCTCTCAAGACTGCACAGTAAGTAGGCAATTTTCTGTTACCATCAGTAAGTGCTGACATGTTGTTCAAGCCATCTTCTGTGATAGGCATTTGGTGCCCAACATCATTGCCAGTGTCAGTACATGTATCTGTAACAGCTGTAGTCTTTTGGAGTTGCAACTAGGTGGTGCCATTTTGTCATGTTCAGGCCTAACAGTAGCTTAGATGTGAGTGGGTAGTTACCAGTTTCACCACCAGGTGGCTCATTTGGGTCAGATTATAGCATGGTGGGTATAGTAGAAAGTTCACTTAGCTTAAAATTAAATATTCATCAGTTTTAGTGGCTCAATTTTCATATCACCCTTATGTATCTAAATTAATAGTTATGCAAATTAAAATATGTCCAGTAAAAGAAAATATTGTTTGTCTAATACAAGAAAAGATATTTCTCTTTTTGTGATTTTATAATTGGGGTCTATGAGGAATCTCCCCAAACTAGAAATCACATTTTCAAAAAAAAAAATTTCAAAGTTGAATGACATCAGTTTGACATTAATTTTGAATATGTAACGACGTAAATCAAGATTAATTCTACTCGCACCCAGTCTGTTGTTATCCTCTTAACACAGGCCTCGTAGATGATGTATAACAATTGTAGAAACTTGAAATGTAAAATGTAAATATTAACCTTCTTGTTGAAATGAAAGGAAATAGCACATCTTGTGAGTCTATTCACATTTTGTGCTGAAAAATAGATGGCATACTCATGAAATGAGAGGAAGAGATCAGAAGACCAGGTTATGGCCACAACTAAAGCTTACTACAAAACATATTCTAAAGCCTTCTAATCAGGGGTATGATTGAAAGATTTGTCCACGATGGTGGAGCATGCTATTTTTCATGAAACACTTATAAAACTCCACAATTTATTTGTTAACTCATATGTTTCGTCATACCAAGAAAATTACTTACTTCATGCAATGAATATATCATTTGCAGGTAACCTTAACTTCTGTTAATAATGCTACAGTATAAGTAAAAGCTATTGAAAATGGCGCCAAAAATATACTCTAAAATGTACCATTTCTATTTTGATTTTTTAATGATACAGTATAGTGACATGATAATAGTTACATGTACATGTACATACAGGGTGAACATTAAATAAGATCAAAAGTGCTCTAATTTTTGTAAACATAAATGAATTTGGCTTATTTTCTCACAGAATGTTGATCTCATAATTTTACATACACAAGGTAAATTCCATCACGTTACATTTAATGTAAATTAAATGCGTTCTATGGTAACCATGGCAACCCATGTTGAGGGTACCCAGAGCAATAAATAAGAATGAAAATATTGTGATGTCTTCTTTCTTAAAACTAAAATAAACATCTGAGGAAATAAGAATGTACAAGAATGCATTGAATGTAACAAAATATGGTGGTATTTCCAAAGCATAAAACCATTAAGAAAGAAAACATCATAATTAATATTATATTAATATTTTGACTGCTCTGGGTACCCTCAACTTGGGTTGCCATGGTTACCATAAAACGCCAAATTTTAAATGTAACATGTTAAAATTTACCTTGTGTATGTTTAATTATTAGATCAACATTTTGTGAGATAATGAGACAGATTCATTAATGTTTACAAAAATTAGAGCACTTTTGATCTTACTTTATGATCACCCTGTATGTTTTCAGTATAACTCTGTAAGTATTAATATGAGATCTTGATATGTTGGGTCTTTTTAATTTTTTATGAAATGTATTTCTCTCTGCCTTGTGCCAATATTATCATTTAACTAAAACTATTGTCACCAAGACCTTGATTCCAAAGATCTCTCATCTACACAAGAAACCCCAATCACATTTATTTTATATTTGAAGATAAGTGCTGTGTGTAAGTTAAAGAATGTTTCTTTACAGGTGAAGATATGGAGTGTTAATGGGGACAACTTAGAAGACTCTAAGCAAAGTACCCTGTGTCAGGTAGATAAGAGAGTAGATTGCGTCACATGGCACCCTTTAGCTGAAGATGTCTTAGCTGTTACACATTACAACACCGTAGGGGTCTATGATGCGCAGAGCATGCAATTGAAATATGGTAAGGCCATCCGCTATGGCTCATTGGCATCTAGTCGAGGTTACCACCATTGCTTGGCCCCAGGTTCATTTCCCTCATTAAGTGTAAAAATCAAATGTTCTTTTAACAAGATATTTTTGGAGATGGTGTGGCAGTGAACAATTACTGTGCAGTACATGCAGTTGTCTCATATCTGAGACAACTCCTCATTTATGTTTGCCTTTTTAAAAAATATACTCACTATACAAGTAATGCTTAAAAAATATTATTGATTCAATTGGACCACACCCTATAAATCTACTGCTTTATTTTTAAAGTCTAGTGCTTAGAAATAACCTTCATGCTTGACATTTGCACCATCTATTTTATGATTTCAAAAAGACAGTGATTTGACTCCAGTCAGTTCTTTGCATTCCCTCCCCCCTTCTGTTAGTTTCTCACACTACATTGTCCACTTTGTGTTCTCCAGAATGTGGTGACCATGGTGATATGGTATATGGCGCAACTTGGAGTGGAGATGGCCAGTTGTTAGGGACGTCATGCAAAGACAAACAAATAAGGATTATAGATCCTAGAAGTGGACAAATTGTACAGGTGAATAATACTTTTTAATTTCTCAAATACTGTTTGGTGTCAAGAACATGAAATTAGGTTCATGACCAAGATGAAATTCTGTGGCAAAATGATACATTCTTGTTGTTGTAACAAACCTGCTATTCCTGAGATGGAGTAATTTATACCTCATTTTTGTACTCTTTACTTCTTAATTGTGTCTATCTATTGGTACTGCCATGTGTGTCAATTCACCAACACAAATCTATTTTGATTTATTCAACTGTTTTAGACTGGAAAAGGCCATTCAGGGACAAAAGAGTCAAAGGTGAAATGGCTTGGAAATCACAACATGCTGCTGTCAACTGGATTTAACATGGTAAGTCCTTAGGAACAGGTCATAATGACATTCATGTCCTGAATGTCAAATATAGCTTGCTTAAAGAAGTATCACCATGGCTACAGCCATTTTAGGCTGGGTTTAACTCTGGGTTTAAATCGGCAGAGTTAAATAAAATAAATCGATTGAAAATAAATTGATTTTAATTAAACCTTCATTTATAATTGTAAATTATCAAGCATAACCTTTTCTTAACATAGTTAGGAATTCATCTGATGAAAATATGAATTTCTAATTAACGTTTCATAATCACCAAACACCATGTTTTTGGGAATTATTATAGAGTCGACAGCAGGAAGTGAAAGTTTGGGACAGTAGGAACCTGAGCCAATCACTTGAATCCACTGACCTTGACTCTTCTAGTGGGTAGGAAACTTTCCATATTTTATTATTTTTAGAGTTCTCAGTTATGCATCACTTTGCCATCAATATGGCCCATTATTTATAACTTATTGATATTTAACTTTCAATTTGCAATAACGATATCTACCAAATTTGAGGCTAGTATTCTGAAGAAGGTCCTTGAAATAGGTAATTGAGATTGGGGTGAATAAGTCAATAAGTCCAAACCCCTTAATCCATAGAAACAATAAAAGTATGCCCTTGTTTTTTCAGGACCCTTCTTCCCCATTTTGATCCTGACACAAATATGCTGTTTTTGACTGGAAAGGTAATAATTGTTGACTTGTAATTTTGAAATCATAAAAAGAATTAATGTCACAATTTATAATTTGATGCGGATTAGTCATTACAGTTATTTTAATGTACCATATTAAAATCGGGCCAAGTACTTACATGTACATGTACAGTTAACATGGGTCTGACCTTAATAGATAAGTTAACCTTTCATTTTTAAATCAAAGGCTTGAACTTCTTCTTAAATTCACTGCCTCATTTGATCATTGATGTAATAAGGTTAAGTGTCACTGGCTTATAAAACAACCTTTCAAATGTTCATTTGTTTAAAATTGGCAGTTGTTAATTTTAGGCAGTTGTTTATAATAGGCAGCTGATTAATTGCCAGTTGTTCAAATTATTTATTAATCATTGTTTTAGGGCGACAACATAGTGAGGTTTATGGAAATAACAGAGAAAGAGCCATACATAACACAAGGTTGGTTCACTCAATTTTCATTGAATCTTATAGCTCTTGAAGATGGCTGCACAAACAAGGACAAGATACATTAATAAAAATCAGTTTGTTGGTCAAATTAATTAAAGCTTACACTAAATGTAGAGTTACTCAAACATCGACTTTTTGTCACCATTTAAATGTGATAGGGGTTGGAGAGAAGAGTGAAAAATAGCAAGCAACTTTGAACTTTATACAACCTCGACACATTAGTTATTATTAAATATAAATGTAATGAATGCTCATATTTCAGGATCATGTGATACTGTTGAACAACTGATGGGTGCATGCCTAGTGCCAAAGCTTTCCCTAGATGTGATGATATTAAATGTGATGATATTAAATATAAATGAAATGAATGCACATATTTCAGGATCATGTGATACTGTTGAACAACTGATGGGTGCATGCCTATTGCCAAAGCTTTCCCTGGATGTGATGATATGATTAAATATAACTGTTATGAATGCACATATTTCAGGATCATGTGATACTGTTGAACAACTGATGGGTGCATGCCTAGTGCCAAAGCTTTCCCTGGATGTGATGATATGATTAAATATAAATGTAATGAATGCACATATTTCAGGATCATGTGATACTGTTGAACAACTGATGGGTGCATGCCTAGTGCCAAAGCTTTCCCTAGATGTGATGATATTAAATGTGATGATATTAAATATAAATGAAATGAATGCACATATTTCAGGATCATGTGATACTGTTGAACAACTGATGGGTAGCAACATGCCTAATGCCAAAGCTTTCCCTGGATGTGATGATATGATTAAATATAAATGAAATGAATGCACATATTTCAGGATCATGTGATACTGTTGAACAACTGATGGGTGCATGCCTAGTGCCAAAGCTTTCCCTGGATGTGATGATATGTGAAGTGAACAGACTACTCCTCTTAACTAAACAGTCAATCATTCCTATAACATATAAAGTACCTCGCAAGGTAGTTATGATATCCTTGATAAGCCTTGATAATGATTATACAAAATTGATCTATGCAAAATAAAGTACGGACATAAGGCGATTTAATTTCTATGTTAATATAATGAAGATATGGAATTTGGTGCTCATGGGTCTCTAAATTATTCTTTATTTTTCCATTTATTTCAGTCATATACAGAATTTCATGAAGATCTATTCCCAGAAACTGCTGGAGAGGAACCTAGCATGACTGCAGATGCATGGTGGGAAGGCTCCAATGCGCAACCTATTAAAGTCACTTTAGATCCTAATGAGCGATTAAGAAAATCTAGAAATACTCAATCAAATGCAACAACAACAGCAACAACAACAGCATCAAAAACATTGCCTGTGAAGTCTAGTATTGTCTCAAAAGTTCCGTCAGTGTTAATGTCAAAAAACTCAATAACACAGAAGGCTCAAGAGGTCCAGAAATCAAATGTGAATAAAACTCAACCAGAACAGTCATCAAGTGATAACAAAACTGCCACAACTCAGGAACAACCTGCAGCCATAGTTACACCTGTTAAACCATTTACAGGTAAGTACAGTACACGTGTGTACATGTATGCTGTACTTTAAATCTACACTAAGTCTTGTAACCACAGGTATTAGCTATATGGAGATGTACATGTACTGCACATGTACATGTATGTTGCTTTTACAATTTTCATAGAGAATTTATATTTTTTACAACTAAAAATAAATACTTTTTCTAAACATAATAATAGTATTGTAGTGTGTGTAAGACACAGTCTCAATCATATGTACCAAATGCATCCCTAAATACTTATTGACCAGTGTCTGTTATGATTGCTTCATCCGATTAATATTATAACCCTTCTGATATCATCATTATTTTTATGATGCCAGATCTGAAAATGACATTGATTGTATACATTGATCTACATGTACAGTACATTAAAATGTCGAACCCCCCCCTGGCCAAAATTTCTTTCAAGATCATGCAGTTTTTCACCATTCTGACTAATTTTTGAGTGATTTTTGGCCATATTTGCCAAAGTGAACCCCCCCTAGAATTTTTTAGAAAAAACGAACCCCCCCTTGGAAAATTCTGGCTACGGGCCTGACTTTTCTTCAATAATTGCTCAAGAATTTATACTATTTGTTATACAAGGAGTCCGTCAGTCTAAGTTCCGGCATCTTGTTGGGACGATAGAGCACAAAAGCCTCCACATTGACAATATACGCAACATAAGCCGTAGCACACCGGGAGAAAGTGACTTCTTCCAAGTGAACACAGAGAGATGTGTTGTTCCCCTTGCTGGGAAAGGTGGCCTTCTAGCAGTATTAGAGGTACAAGTACAGTACTTGACATATTTATGTTTTGTATATACATGATATACGCTAGTATCTTCTAGAATAATCACATAATTTCTTCAAATAACAGACATGGATCACGATCAAGCAATCACATAACTGCTTTATCAGTCACACAAGAAATAACTTCATTTTTACAAATACATGTACATATTAATATTTTGGCCTGTTAAAGGTAACAGTGGTATGAGTGCAATGGTACTTTTATTTGCTTAAAATAAATTTCATTTCACAGTTATGTTATTTGAATGTTCTTGAGTCATTTCAACGGGAGTAGGGAGAGAGGGAGTATAATCCGCAAAAAATTACTTGTGAAACATTAAAATTTTGACCTGTTAAACAATTGTTTCAGTTAAACAAGCCTGGAAGACTACCAGATACAGGAGTACCTGTCGTAGAAAACACTAGCTCAGTGTCTGATTTTGTGTTGAATCCTTTTGATAACACAGAGCTTGCCGTCGGCTGTGAGGACGCAAAGATTAGAATTTGGTGGCTGCCCGAGGAAGGGGTGACGGAGACGCTAACCGAACCTGATCAAATTCTATCAGGCCACACTGAGAAAGTTTACTGTATTAGGTAAGAATTATAATTGTGAATTGATTTTATAAAGAAATATACGTTAAGTAGCCCATTTCTATTACATTTGCAATATTATCAAATCAGTAGATCTCAGGATCAGCATGTACTCAACTTTTCATTTCTGTACAATTTACGTGAGTTCACAAAGTTTGTGTACCATGGCATATTCAACTGCACCTTCTTCTCAACTTTCCAATAGGCTGAAATGTTGTACCTGAATACAGTTAGTTTTGATTCTATCTGATGCATTCTCCGAAATTCTGTAACAGCTTTTCTTGCTTCTGGTATATTCCAGTCATCGATTATGATATATCCACCAATTGGTACCAAATCATAAAGGTTGTAAAATGTGTCTGTTAAACTCTCATACATATCTCCATCCATTCTGAGCACCGAAATATGCTTGATTTTGTTCCTTATACAGGGTAGGGAGTACACAAACCAACCTTTAACAAAATGTACTGTGTCATCTAACAGAGAAAATCTTCTAAAATTCTGTTTAACTATATCCTCTGAGATTTTGATCCACTTTAGGCTGGAAAAATAATCATTGTCTTTTTTGTTTGTGGATTTTGGTAAACCTTGAAATGAATCACACAGCCAGACTTTTCTGTCATGTGATTGGTTGTAGCTATTGATGACAGCCTTTGCGAATATGCTACCTCCGCCCCTCCATACACCCGCCTCGAGAAAATCTCCAGGAATATCATTGGAGATAACATTTTCCAAAAGTTCCTGGATATTTCTCAATCCAGAGATTCCTATTAGAGAAAGTCGTTCCGTCCAGGCATTGTCCAATTTACGAGGGTTTGATTCCTGTAGTTCTTTTGCACTGAGGCAGTTCATACCAGTTATTACAGTCTTCATAAGATCAAGGTACTTCTCACGTAACATCTTCAGTTGTGTGGTAGTTGTGTCCTCATTGTGCTGGTTGATGGCTTTAACTAAATCAACAGTGCCATAAGGGCTGTTGACCGAAACATAAATTGGGTTGTTGGTCATTGCTATTGGGCTTGGGGTCACCAGAGGCAACTTGCTTTTCTCTTTATATACATGCACAGCTGATAGCAGCATTAGACATACAACTGATGTGCAAGCAAGTAAAGTATAACCCTGAAAAATAAATCATTAAAAAGTGTTAGTACAGTAATACATAAATGCGATATACCTGCAATTGAGATATTGGGAAAAAGGGGACACATTATAAATAATTATATAAATCAATCAATATGTTACAGTCGAGAGTATAGTATCTCCAAAATGATAAAAAAGTATTTCCGGATTAAAGCATGATTACTGCCTCTTCAGTAATGTCCTGTTTAGGAGTAACAGTCTTGAATAGTTAGACCCTTCACAACCAATACAACATTTTGTTAATATATGTGTTAACCACTTCACTAGAGTCACTCCTGTAATCTGTCATTTGATATCTTACCCTCTGACTAGAAAGCGTTCATTACTTGTTATTTTTGTCACTTACCATATTCGAATTGTTCTTCATGTATATGGTAGATGTTCATATGTAGTGAAACCTTATTTTGTATCATGTTCCTTCAATTCTAGTTGAAAGCCCATGTTTGTATGAACTGTAACCTGTACGCATTAACTAAGTTGTAGTTTAAAAGTAATGATCAATCATTCAGTTTGATCACTTATATAGAATTATTTTAATGAAGTATCGGGAATCTTTTATATCCCAATATATCCTAAGATAAATCCTAGTTACATAGTCATTAGTGTTGACAAGTTGATATTAGAAATCCTAATACAAATAAATGCCAACTTTTAATAAACAGTATGTTATACATGATGGTTAAAAAGTACTATCAATCAATCATTTTCGAAATTATTATTTTTATTTGATACTTATGTGGTATCATTTAATATTTATTTGTGCCACCTCCAGAAGTTTTTTTGTGGATGGTGTTTGGTAGTTTGCATATGGCTGTTTGGCATTCAGCGTCTGTGGCAAATGGCAGTGTTGTTATTGATTGTAACGAGTTTTTTAATTCACCAAGTCCAATACAATGAGCTAAGGAATTGATACTACACACATCAACATTATACATTATATCGTATAATAACTATCAATGAAAAATTGAAATTTTAATGTTAAAAAATGATGTTAAATGGTAGGCGCTTTCTTTAATTGGGAGAAATGACATGTTCACAAAACTCTTTATTGATTAAAATGGTGCCATTTCTATTATTAGTTCGTATACTATTTCAGATACCACCCTCTGGCCAAGTATTTGTTAGCCTCAGCATCATATGATATGACAGTACGACTCTGGGATACAGCAGAACTGGAAGAAATGATTCAACTAACAGGGCACACAGATTCAGTAAGTAGTGTATACCATCAGTGAATACTTTTGTTATTTCACTTACCATATTTTCTTTTGCCATTACAAAAACACAAAATAAATTCATCCCACTGTATTAGTGTATATGACCAAGCTGAATTGAAATATTTTCAATAGTGGCATGTTTAATGCTCACATGCAAATGCTATGTGTATGTACATGTAAATTATCTGCATAATTATTTTTGATGTACATTACATTTGTAGATATTTTGCTTGTCATGGAGTACATCTGGAGATAAGCTAGCAACAGCATGTAAAGATGGAAAGTTGAGGATTTATCAGCCCAGGACCTCTACAGAACCTATACAGGTAAAATGTGATGGTTGTCTCATTTTGAGTGGAAGATACAAGAAGATAAAACCAACAAAATTATATAAGTATGTTATTACTATACATCAATTTGTCAGTCATCCCTTTGAAAATGGTGGGGATTTTTCATTTGAAATCTAAATTTTCTATTTCCCACCAAAGTAAGAACTTCCAACCCATTTCAACACTGTAATATATTACAGCTGATGTCAAAAGAGATTAAGTAATATAATATGATATACCATACATGTATACACATATACATGTACATGTATACAGGGTGACCCAAAAAACAGAACCCTCTAAATCTGTAATAATTTATCAATATATAGATTATCTTATTATTATTTTTTAGGAAGGCCCTGGGCCAGAGGGAAGCAGAGGAGCAAGGATTACTTGGGCATGTAATGATCAATTAATAATTGTCTCAGGGTTTAGCAAGTAAGTATGAATATTCATTTTTCATGTCATTGTGTATAAAGCTGGCTTACATTTAATTCATTCCACTTTCCCCAATTTTTATTGTTATAGTCTTCAACTTTTTTGTGGATGGTGTTCGGAGTTTGGTGTTTGGCAGTCGGAGTTCTGTGTTTGGCATTCAGCGGTTGGTGTCTGTAACAAATGGCAGGTGGTGACATTTTGCATGTTTACGCTTTGTATTCGATTTTCTTCCAGATCAAGTAATCGCCAGCTCCAAGTATATAGATCAGATAATATAAGTGTTTGTATTTCAACCATAGAGACAGACCTCAGTCCTTCTATACAAATACCACACTATGATGAAGATAGCTCCACATTGTTTCTTACTGGCAGGGTATGACATGTTTAGAATAAAAAATAGTAGAACATGAAATCTCGAAAAACAGACTTAAAGTTAGCAATTTACAGAAATACTAGAAGATCATACATTTCATTCAGATTTTAGACATTATTGTTAATTTAATTTATTTATTCATAATTATTAATATCTAAACTACAATGTCCAATAAACAGTCAACACATAATGTGCATATTCCTGCACTACATATTATACATGAAATTAACAGATGACTATGAACAGATATTTTAAATGCTAGTTAAGAATGTTTATCTTTTTGTATTGCAGGGTGATAATACAGTGGTAACTTATGAAGTGTCCCTAGAGGAACCATACATTTTCCCATTATCTCCATACAAATGTACAGATCTCCACCAAGCTGTATCATTCCTGCCAAAAAGTCAATGCAATGTGAAAGATGTTGAGTTTGCCAAAGGCTACAGGCTTACAACCACCTCAATACAGCCTCTGTCTTTCACAGTTCCCAGAGTTAAGGTATGATATTAACCTCTTGACTACCTGGATTGACGAGATTTTTCGTCATCTCAGAAATGACCTTGAACCCATAGTGACGAGAAAATCCGTCACAAAATTTGTCACTAAAACTGCTCTTATTTGAACAATTTTCGACTAATTTACACAAAAATTGTTTCAAAATGTGTAGAAATGATCTCTGCCAACTAATTTTACTAAGTTGAGCATCTTAAATTGTATATGTATATAGAAAAATATCAAAAGGTGGCAAAAATGAAAAATTGTCTGGTTTCAACCGATTTTAGAGCCTGGGATTCAAGAGGTTAAAGGGAGAGTGTAAGTAGAAAATAGAGTTAAGTCAGTGACATCTGACCTTGGGCATCTTGAATGTTACCTTCTTTGGATCCAGGTGATATTACCCTCTTAAATCACATTCAAACCCATCATAACTATCTTTACTATGTAATAATTAACTAATAACTCTTCAAACTTATCAATCAGGTGAACATATTCATTATATCATTCCAGAAAGAATATTTCCAAGATGACCTATTCCCAGATACAAGGATGAGTTGGGAGCCTGCCCTTAGTGCAAGTGAATGGTTCCAGGGTATTGATAGAAAACAACCACTTGTATCTCTTGCCCCTGATGATATGAAACCATGTAAGTGTATAATTTTCACTTTGTACTGTAACATTACTAACATGCCTGGAAGAGAATGGGTTCTCTCTCCTTGGTTTGGGTTCATGGGAAAAAAACTTCTAAGAATTTCTAAAGGTTTGAACACAGCTTCTGAAATAATGACTGAGCACATCAAGTAGTTTTACGTCTACACATTTGCCTTTCCTGTATCTGAAAACAGTCAACTTTGTAAATGAATGATCATTTTCTCAGTCCCTGAACCTTTATGCATAATGAAGACTTTTTTCAAAAAGATGTAACTGAATTTTTTATTGTAACCTCGAATTGTTATACTGTTGACTGCTCCTTACTCTATTCATTGCTAATTACACTCTTCCTTGCACTTTAAACATGACAGCAGGTTAAGTTGTTCACATTTTGATTCCAGTGAGCCAGGCACCAGTTGAGGCTCCCAAAGTGAAGAAATATGAAAGTTATAATAAGGAAGTATACAAGACAGATGAACAAAAGAAAGAAGAGGTAAGGAAAGTTGTATTGTAACCTTTAGACACCCAAGTTGTTAATGCTATATCTTACTGGCTCTTCTGTTTCAAGCACAATTAATGTGTCTAATTTTTATGTCACCACCACAAGTATTGTTATCATCTTTTTGTGGGCAGTTTTTGGCATTTGGCATTCAGCATCTGTAACAATTGACTTGTGGTGACATTTTGCTCCTGTTTGACCTGATTACAAAGTCCCTTGTCTGAATGAAATATAAATGCTGAATAAAAAAAACACCAAAAACTTGTTGTTTTAGAAAATAAACAAAAGGGGGTTTGTCAAACGATAACTTTGACAAAAAGCAAAGAATGAAGGAAGACATGTATTACAATTTGAAACTTCAAAATGCTAATCCTACTGAAAGTTAAGAGTTGCCATTTGATTTATTGGTTTTACATGGTTTACAATTGTTAAGCCTCTGAGTATATATCATTCTTTAACATAACAATTCCATCTAATATTTCACTATTATCCACTTTCTTCTCAACGCAATAAACATCTACATCTGCTGGAGTGTGGTACAATACAGTATCTGTAGTATTGTGTGCTACATCATCTTTAGCTTCGACTCCAGTGTTATATGTAGCAGCTCCTGTTTGCATATTTGCATAAACCAAGCTAGAATCTAGCAGTGATTTATCATTGTTATCCTTTGGTTCAGTCTTTAGTTGTTTTGGTGTGACCATTGCTCCCTGTTGATCCATTTCTACCTTGTCTGTGCCAGTTAGATGGTGGTTTGCTGCTTTGGAGGAGTATCTGTTTTGCTTATGGTATGAACAGATCTGCAAAATTATCAAAGTGATGGAGAGAGTCATGAAAAGAATTATTCCAATCGTGAGTCCAATAGTTAATGTAGTTGAGCATGAAACAGTGGAGGTTGCATGTGTCGCATGATCTTTAGTGGTATTGTGGACAGTTGAATGGGTAGCAGCTGCTACTGTTGGAGCCTCTTCCTGGTCTTTGTCACATGACTCTATCTCACAGATGTATGGCAACTTGGAGCAGCATGACTCATACTGGATAGTTAAGGTGGCTGCATCTGTGTTCACAATAGCAGGACATCTTCCACATGTAAAGTCAGTTGGGCAACTATTGCGTGATACAAGAAGATCAAAACTTATGGCAGGATAGTCATTCCAATATTGAGGATATAACCGTATAAACTGTGCATCAAAAGGTTTTGTAAAGTTCCTGTAAACTCGTGAAATTTTGTCAGTATTCGCAGACAATTCTTTTTGTTCATTATCCTGAAGGGTGCGAAAGTTATCACCATCTTTTCTGTAAAGAAGTTTGTAAACTGTTGTCCACCAATCTCTGTTCTCCTTTCCTTTTGTAACAATTCCATGAATACACATTGTTTTCCCTAGGTCAACCTGAACCCAAAAGGGACCTTCTGTTTGATAAGAAACCCAGGCATTTTCACTATCAATTTTAGCCAAATCTGAGTCTGACCAAGACCAAGAAGAAGATGCTGAGAATTGATCATCTGAGATGTCCTTTATAATAAAGTAAGGTATCCCCACATCTGATGGATTGAATGTTTCTCTAATATCAGGAGTATATCCTATCCATACCTTATCTAATGAGTATTGTTTTATAGTATCACTAGCCATCTCTTTAGATCGATTGTCTATTACGTTAATAATTGTTCCATTGGTCCTGGCGCACTCCAATGCGGCCTCAGACCATGTCATATTCTCCAGGTTTACAGCAAGGGTGTCCCTCACCAAGTTATATCCAACTGGACAGAACAGACCTTCTGTGTGTATCATAGAAGCCATTGTTATTAATATCACTCTTACTATCACTCTTACTATAAGATCCATCATGAATGTCCCCTCTCCCCCTGTATTAAGCAGCCAACTAGTGGTGTATGTTCAGAGTTGTTTTGTTATTTTAATCAAGGGGACACAAGGAAAGTTTCCCGATCATTTGCTTAACAAATGTCTTATTGAGCTTACTCATCATATTTTTACTTCCTTAATTGTGTTGAATGAGAACAATTTTCCTGATAACTTAATTAGCATGTACTCACTGGAATAATCATATTTTAGGTCCTTTCAAATTTTGAAATAATTTTTTGATCCAGGAATTTCTTGCATTTCCAGGCACAATATGTAATGGTTAATAAAGATTCAGCCAAAACTGGGTCACATGTTATGAAAGATCAGTTATTTGTTCACTAGGTTTCTCAAAATAAGCTCATAAAATCAGAAAAATCAGAAATCAGTATTCACCACTATCAGGAATTTTAGGGTAGTTAATTTTGTTCAATGTAGGCCAGATTATAATTGTGGCAGAACTTTTGTTTATATCAATATTTTTTGTTTAGTCATAGGTGGTAAGCACACTCCAGGCTTCATGGAATATTACTTATGAAAGACTCATCAACAGAATGAAATATTTGTTTTTTTGTTGTTCCAGTTACTTGCTGCAATGACTAACAAACTTGGAACACACGATGAGCCCTTACCTCAAGATCTCACAGAGGGGGTGGACGATGATGAATGGGATGACTAAACAATGGGATGTCTAAACAATGGGATGACTAATCAGTGGGATGACTAAATAATGGGATATAACAGAACAATACAATCACTAGTTTTATGCAGAGGAGAATTACAATATATGTGGAATTCTGATGGCACATGGAATCACGTCCATATAACCATGGGAACAGGAAAATGTAATCTACTAATACTGTGATCACTTTCTTAATGTTTATCATTCAGTTGTTTTCTAAATTTTCCTATTCAATAATGAGATTATCATACTAGTAGTTGATTTAATCAGGGGGTCATTAACAAAAACTTCGTAAGTTACGAATGCTTCTATTATTGGATCCAAGATGACTGAATGATAGTCTCAGTTAGTGGATCACATAAGGATGACTAGCTTAATTAAACCTGAATATATTATAATTGATAAATAATGGTATTATGAAGTCATTGAATAACAATATAATGGGATGGCTGAACCAAAAAGCTGTTTCTTCAATCTGGTCACACAGAATTTGGAGATATATACTGTCTTACAATGGAATACATATTTTCAGATGAATAAATTGTGAAACATTGGACGTTCAGTTGGATAAATAATAATTTGATGACTTAAAAACAATTGAAGAATGTGTTAGTCTTTTATTTTCTGTATCTTCTCTGTTTCATTTTAAGTAACAAAAGTCCATAATTTCTTTTTTATATTTTTTCTGTATTTCTAAAAACTTGTCAGATTACAACTACATGATTTCTATGTTCTTTTCTCTCTTATACAACTAAAACTAATGAATTCATCAGTCTCAGAGAGCAGAAAACTGGTGCAAGTTTTGGTGAGGCAAAATCATTCAGTTTTCTGTTCTGAGACCGAAGATTCTTCATCGGTATATGTACATAGTTGTTTAGTTGTGTGTTCATTATTTTCTTCGACAGAATATTATTCTTTCATACAGTAAAGCTTGCCTTATCTTAACGCCTCTTAGACAAGCAAAAGGTATTTGGACTAAGGAGACGTTCTAATGCTCAGACTTTACTGTATATTGTTTACAGTACTTTCTATTTTAGACTGGCAATATCATTTAATTGATGCCAAAAGAAGTCACAAAAGAAACGACCAGAATTGTGATAATAGTTTTGTTTACATTATGTCTGTGCTTATGATTTATGATATGAACATTCATGCCTAAATGATGAACATATTAAAAGTTGCTCAAGTTCTCTTTTCCTTACAATATACAAATATACCGTATTCGCCATACTGAGCCAATTTGAGAACTGAACAACATTACCTTATTCATTATGACAAATGAAACACCGATTCCTCAACCTATAACATGATAACAAATTAGAAAATAGGAAAGTAAAACATTACATGTAAAGTGTTGTTTCTTTCAAGTCAATCAAAAACAGTGCTATTTCAGTGTGGACATTGCTACAGTAGCACAGAAAATACATTCAGTACAAACCAGGAACAATGGTCGTTAATGAAACAATCATATATTTAGAAAAAGCTATTATGTATGGAATATATTTATAATTTTATTGCATGATATACAGCTTTGTTTTGTCGATTCTTCCACCCTAAAATGCCAACTGTTTTACAGTTCAATTTGTCTCGATGTAAAATGGCTTCCCAATCTTGGTCAAAATTACAGTCGCAAATGTTTTCGAGAAATTGGCAATTTTTGGGTCAAAAGTTCCACTTTGTCCTTTATATAGTTTTTAAAACTAATCTAGCTAATTATGAATATGAGATATCTAGTAGCCTTTTTTGAATCATAAATATACGAAGGTTCTGAAATTGGACGGTTGACCTGTTATAATATTTTAAATTTGATGGCATCTCCCTCTAACAAGTCAAGGTCAAAATCGTGGTCAATAAAATTCATTATTTTTATGATTCTGGTATCAAAAAACGCAACCCAAAGAAATTGCTATATCTTGAAAAATACTGGTTCAATTATGTTCATATTTTCAGGAAATAAAGAAGAGACTGTGTGTGTATAGCTCCTGTCAATGGTTAGTTGTAAAACATGATGCCTTGGACACCTGCTCAAAAAACAGTTGTACTAGCAAAATGCGAAAAACGCAGTCAGGGGTGACTGCAACCGCTAAAAAATTAAATAACTTCCTAACCATAGTGTTTTGGCTCTTCAAATTTGGCACAAACCATCTTCATTCACTGTTTGATAAATCTGTAGAGTGAAATCAAAATCACTTCAGGGACTTCACTGTCATGGTTGAAATGCTTTGAAATCGCAGTCAAACGCCCTGGTTCAGGGAGACTTAAGAAGGCATTTTGACCATGACTATAAAGTCCCTGGAGTGATTTTGATGAAACTTCAGAAATCCACCACACATTGAAAAAGGATAATTTGTGCCAAATCTGAAGTGCCAAAACACCACGGTTAGAAAATTATTCGGTTTTATTGCTGTGGCAGTCATCTCTGACTGCGTTTTCCTATTTTCCTAGTACAACTGTCATTTGAGCAGGTGTCCAAGGCATCATGTTTTACAACTTCCTGACAACAGGAGCTATACATACACAGTCTCTTCTTTCTTTTCCTGAAAAATAAACATAATTGAATTAGTATTTTCCAAGATAAAGTTATTTTCCATTCACGTTTTTCGTATTTTGCTAGTACAACTGTCTTTTGAGCAAGTGTCCAAGACATCATGTTTCACAACTAACTAACAACAGGGGCTATACATACACAGTCTCCTCTTTCTTTCCTGAAAATATGAACATAATTGGATCAGTATTTTCCAAGATATCGCGATTTCTTTGGGTTGCGTATTTTTAACACCCTTGTATTTCAATGTCTGTCATTCTTAGTGCCTGTGAACAGTTTTCTAGTAATGTGTTCTTGCATCAGAGTCAGGCCCGTAGCCAGGGGGGGTTCGGGGGGTTCGGGCGAACCCCCCCCCCTGGCCAAAATTTCTTTCAAAATCATGCAGTTTTTCACCATTCTGACTAATTTTTGAGTGATTTTTGGCCATATTTGCCAAAGTGAACCCCCCCCCCCCCTAGAATTTTTTAGAAAAACGAACCCCCCCCCTTGGAAAATTCTGGCTACGGGCCTGAGAGTATTAATAATTTCAATTCAGTTACAAAATTCAGCAATTTCTTAATATGCGAATTGTAAATCTGAAAATGAACTCCATTGTCACTTAACTTTGGTAGGGAAAGTTGGCTTGCACCAGTTACATTGGCTATACGCGTCCATTCCGTTCCCACTGAACATGTGATGTTGTTAATTTTCGTGTCCCCTGTTCATCTTAAATGTTTGCAAAACCATAAATAGTCAACTACACAATCATACATTCTATTTCGTACCAATCTATATTTTTGTCTCAACCATGTTTACATGTTTACTTTTTAAAAAGTTAAAGTGGCAACACAGACTTGAAAGTGAAAAATGTTTGAAAGAATCTTAAAAAATGGTTCTCGAGCCTAATTATATTTTCTGAAAAAATAAAAGATATTGACGATTTAAGATGTAGAATTGTCCAAATTCATAAGAATTGAAAAGGGGAGGCCACTTTTTAAACTTCTGTTAGATAACCTCAACGATCAAAGGATTATACACAAAGTCAAAACCAATGCACATTTTATGAAATAGGGATGGGATACAATGGTGAGTTCTCTCAACTGGTAGACAGGCTGGTCTCCCCTCTTTGCTGCCCCTTAGTAGATGTACTTCAGAATGATAAATGGTTGATTTAAAGTTATAATTGCGTCTAATAACTTATTAACCAACAGCCACTATATTAGAGTGGGTGTATAACTGATACTGCTATTGCTCCTAAGGTCAAACAAACTTAAGAGCAACATTGCAATAGAGGGAATAAACACAGTGAGAACAGGTTTACAGGTAAGTTACATGCATTTTATATTTTGAGTTTATCGCATTTATTTTGCTTTCTGTTTGATATTTTTATTCATAGTTCACATGCAATGAGTCTATGATACTGTATAAAAGAGTGACTAACTAAATAACAAATATTTGGTTTACATGAAATTAAAAGGCTGTATCACTTTTGGCTGGTACTAGATACTAAATTACAAAGACATTATTCACATTAAGTCATTCCCCATCATTGATTATGTCATTTTATTCTAGACATCAGATAATGCTTTATGTCAGATCATTCGGATTTGGTTCATAGTATTTCAATCTGTATTCTAAGGTCTTGAATATCTTGTCATTGTTATATGTCACAGACTACCTATACCATTCATCGGTGATGTGTCGTCATATATTTTGTAGATCCACCACAGGCAAAAAACAATACCACTCGTGAATATGTCAGAAGGACACAAATGGCCAGAATTAGTTGGCAAGGTAAGCAGTTTAAAGAATTCGAAGGTCTTGAGAATAGAAATGTAACACACTTTGGATTGTGTAAAAGAGAGGAAAAGAGAACAACGCCTTTATCTTGATCGAGTTTCATTTGATATTTCCCGAAGGCGTCTGAAAATGTTACAGGAAGACATGGAATACCTCTCTATATATTCAGTCACATGGTATCTCATTGACCAATGGGAGAACGAGTATCACGGCATGGAAATTATAATATACTTTATCGTGTAATCTGTATGAAGCCTTCTGATCGGTCAGAATCTTGTGCTGTACCAATCTGCATTGCTACTGAGAATGCCCCCATTGATCATCTGAGTAGCAATACACATACAGAGAATACAGAATATTTCTTAGGGATTATCTCCTAGGAAAAATGTATTGGCCTAACATCATACGATAAAAACGTTATCATGGTATGGTTATAGAATGATTTGAAGTACAATACAGGACATATTCTTCTCTCGATATTCGACTTCGTCGTTCCAATACAGATTTCAAATCATGCAATAACCTATATTATCGTATGATCTGTAAAATGAAGACCTCTGATTGGTCAGTTCTTTTGCTGTACCAATCTGTATTGCTACTGAGATTGTCCCCGTTGATCATCTCCCTCGCAATACAGAAAAAATATTGGTACGGAGGGGACAATCTCAGTAGCAATACAGAGGATCACACGATAAAACCGTTATTGCAATACAGGACATATTCTGTCTCGATATTTTGTATTGGCACTCGACTTCGTCTCGTTCCAATACGGAATTTCTCGAGCAGAATATATCCTGTATTGCACTTTAAATCATTCATTAGTACTAACTTATAGTATTTTTGTCATTTACGATTTTTACGTTTATTTCTATCCAACATTTTTTGAAATTTTTAATGTTTCCTCTTACGAACTTTGTCGGCAAATGAGTGTCTGTATATTTTAGAGATTTATGACAATAAAACCATAAAGACACAAAGTGTTTAGGCAAATATGTAGACATGCCAGAAAGCAATAAAAACTTCAATCCATATTAAAAACGACCAATATATACCATTCTACTATACCTTGCATTTGGTGTTCATAAGCAACCCATTTGGCTTATTAGTAATGATTATGTTATTTTTTTTTATTTGTCTGTTCCTTATTATTGGTTTATTGGATGACCGTTAGATGTTAATAAGGTACTTTCAAAAATATACTAAATAATACAATTAGACAAACAGAGTTAGATTGATACATCACCAGGGTCATGAGGGTATATGATTTATATAACTGATAGTCCATTAGGTGTCACATTTGCCTCATAAACCAACATACTAGAACTTTGGACCTGCTAGACAACCCCCACTGTATACGAGGGGAAAATTACAGATGATATTCTAGATTTCATTTAATCCAAATCTTGATTAATTAGAGTCATGTGTATTTGTGGTGTGTGAAGTGAATAGTAAACAAAACAGTTGCTCGTATGTCAGGAATATACGACACTTCACAAAAATAAACATTCTTTTAATCATAACAACATAGACGTTGTATGATATGCAAAAATGATTGTTCTGAAATGTCCAGTCAAAAAGCATTTTGGGTAATTTTTTTCTAAAATTGAAAAATTCCCATAGAACGTTTGTATTTGCATATAATTTCAGACTGGAGAAGAAGCAAAAGAAGAGATCCTGGCCGCCTATCCAAATCTAAATGTAAGACTTTTCTCAGTATTAAATTATGAAGGAAATATATTAAAAAATCTTAAGATGAAAGTCAAATAGACTGCCATTCATGTAGCTTTCTATTTTTTCTGTTCTATATCACTTCAATGTTAAAAAATACATCAATAGCGTTGAACGATTACTGTATATAAAGTAGTAAGCTCAATATGATAATGCTACAAAACTTTTAATGGTAATGATGTCTAGTTGCATTGAACATTTTTAATATGTCCAAAAGAAATGATTTATTATGCAAGTTGATCGAAGCGGGTAAATGGCATAATATGTGTTTTTGTAAATCTATCGCACTTTCATCCAGTTCCTCTAAATCGTATTTTAAAATTTGATACATCTAAATATTTTCCTCCGATTTCAGGTCATCGTTCAACATGAACACTCCAAGTGCACCAAAGATTACCGTATAGAACGAGTTCGAGTGTTTGTGAATGATGATGGCGTCGTTGTTAAGGCTCCCTACACGGGATAGATAGTCTCAAAACGATGACATTTAAAACACTTGTATATACATTCTAATGGATATTATTAACAGCTTATTTCAGACAAACAAGATATAAAAATGATAACAAATTGAAAAGTTTTCATGGATTTTATGGTGTAGCGTGGAAACAATAATTGTTATCTTTTTTGAAGATCTGCGTCATCACGCTTTTGGAGACCACCCAACGAATCCCGCAACTGAACTCAACATGGAGAAAATGAACTTAGTTCTACATCCTTCTCTACTATGATGACATCTTTTTCCAGGTACAAGTATGTAACATGAAAAGTCCAGTAACAATGGACTATAGGATCGACAGAGTACGTGTGTTTACGGATGATTCGGGAAAAGTTGTTCGACCACCCATGACCGGGTAATTTGGATATATCAGAATCTTCACGACATTCAAACACACTTTTCCCCATATGACTCCATATATGTAGAATGGCCAGTAATATGAGAAAAAGTGCATATTGGTAATTGCTTTTTAAATAAATACGGGAAATAGTATTAATGAATGTGATACGAAATGTGTTTACCTCATGGACGTTACACATTTCCATAATAGTTTTAGTTCAATAAACGTCCAGATAAATATCTTATTTCCGCAAAATTTTGTTAATATAAAGAAATTTCCTCCCCTGCCACATGCCTGGCTACGCTCAGGTACAATTATGAAAAAATAAACACCAGATTTTCAAAGTGAAACACTTGTATTAGATGAATCAATTAAATATGGATATATATCTAGACAAAACACATTCATTAACATTAAACAAGACTTATAAAGTTAGAATGCGATAACTCGGGGTTATTTACTTAGAATAACTCAGTCTGATATAAATCGGTGGTGCCTCAAACCTGCCCTGAAGGATGGCTATGACATAAACTTACTTTTGTCAAAATACCGGACCTGATCGACTGCGAGAGCAAAATACTAGCTGAGCTAAACAGTTTTCGTTCATCGTAAAATTGAACTCCTTTTACTACTCCGCCTGGTGAATGAATCGTTGTTTTGTGACCCATGACCTACCTTTAGACACTTCGCCACATACCCGGGTCCACATATCGTAATTAGTTTATCGAATTGAAATGACATTTTCGATCCAAGAAGGAAATGTGCACAAAAAATATAAACTCCGCTTGACATATTCCTTGTCACTCCATCGTCTTCTTGATGAGACACGTCGGAACTTGGGATTCATAGCCATTCAACCAAGTCACAAAAAGTATGTAATAGTTGTTCAACATGTTTGATTGTGTTAATATTCTCGGCATTCCACCTTTAACACCCGGGCTTTAACATAACAAAATGTCACCACCAGGATTACACAGTACTATGTACAGGGTGACAACAAAAGTGCCACCTTCTAGTTTTGGAATTAATTTCTCAGTTATGAAAATCATGATTTTTTGTATGTAGATAATATTCAATTCATGAAACATTGATGTACTTACATAGCATCAGCAAGAGATATATGTTTTCCGTTGAGCCATGCTCTGACGCCAAACCACTCAAAATTAGGTTAAGAAATCTATTTTCTTATATTTACCTAATATAATTATACGTGTATTTGATAAAACTATTTTAGAAAATATGAAGATATGACTACTGATAAAACGTATTGGAGCAATTCAGAAATGACTCAAATAATGGCTAAGGCAGACATCTCATTCTCAATTTAAAAAAATGATTTTTTAACAATTTTCCTCGAGTTCAAATGAAAGCATACATGGATGGAAAAATTTTAAAACCATAAATGCTATAATAAGTACACCATTGACTGTTTTCTCCATTTTATCTACACAAAAATCGTAAAAATTCCATCAAAGTTGATAAAGGTAGTCCAAAATTAGAGGGAAACGTCTTTTGCAGTCACCCTGTATATTTAAAAACTGGTGACGTAATTTGTTACAGACACTTAACGACTATCCCAAAAAAATCTAGCCAAATGTATCCGGGTACAATTTCCAAGGTTTACACAATACATAATAATACATGAAACGATTCTATAAAACTAATTAAGATTTTAAATTCTCCTTATACTGACCAGTTTTAAGGATACTACATGTATATATATCCTTTCCACTGAGATTTTTTGGAATTGTTTTTTTCCACATTTTAACTTCTCCACAGAAGCATTCCCCCTTTATAAAATGATAAAATAAAAAGGTCTATCTAACGTATATAAATAGCTAAGTCAGTATTACAGTTGCTGAATAAAAGTCTCTCTCTGATGAAATAAATAGCTAAGTCGGTGTTATTGATGAATAAAAGTCTCTCTCTAATATGTTTAATAGCTAAGGCAGTGTTACATTTGATGAATTAAATAAGAGCCACTCTATGGTGAATTTAATTGCTTTACATGTAAGACATTGTTATTGATGAATAACAGGCTCCCTCTAACCTATTGACGAGCTGTTAGTCTTATAGTACGTCCTCACGTTTTGTGAAGCTCGGCCAGTGTTACAATGTTACAATTTATGAGTCAAACGCCCTCTGATATATTTAGGAACTGTTTGAGTATTTCAATACGTGAACAGGTGAATCAAAGAACCTCTTCGATGTGAGGAAATACAGGTCTTCTCCCATGTATAGATACATGAGCACTGCCCTTGATGTATAACAGGTACTCAGGGTTGATAAATTAAGTATTGTAGTGTACATCAGGTTCTAATGCATTAAAGAACTATGCGAGTATTGGAGTTAATGAACAACGTGTCCACTTTATTGTAACTATCAACTCGGACAGTTACGCATTTGTTAAGCCATGGGCGTTCCCCAACGAATTTCTAATTTCAGAGAGGCCTGTTTGAGGAGTTTGCGAATTATTTACGCTGCTGCTTTTGCAAAACATCTTTCTCCAGGGGATTGTACTGAACGTGTAGATCATAGGGTTAATAGCGCTGTTGATGGGGAGCACAAATATGCTGACGTAGGCAAATTTATCACCTGGAAAAATGAAGAGATCCTATAAATCAAGAGCATTTATGTACAGTGTAGGCCTACATATTGACCTCAAAACTTTGTGGCAAACCAATGACAGGGAAATTATAAATTAAAAATAATTATCAGATTCAAATAAAGTCACTCGTTACATTGATTTGAGCAGCCATCTTGAGAATTCCCTCTTGAGCAGAGTCTGATATACCTAAAGCATCAGCATAAATTTGAATGAAATCCGTCACTTGATATTTGAGCTCTTAAACATTAATGGTATCGAGTTTATCAAAAACTGATTTTCCATGAAAAGTGACGGCCATTTTGAAATTCAGTGACAATTTTGAAGATATCTTATTGAGTAGAGCTCATTAGTCTATAGACATCATCTTATAAATTCTAAACCGAATCTGTCAAGTTGTATTTGAGTTATCAATGGAATGAAAGCCATTTTGAATTGAGCAGCCATTTTGAAAGTTCCTTCTTGAGCATGGCTTTATTTCATCAGCAGATAGAATACGAACCCAATACCCAGACTCTTGCGACTCTACGATTCATCTACGACCCCATTCTTTCTTCTTAAAACAGTTTTCAGTCGAAGCTTTATCAAATCTATTCAAAGGAATCTTTGGCTGACACATGACAACGCTTGATAACTTTCGTAATTATGATGAATGTGTCATTGTGCAGCTAAGATATTAAATCTTTGGACATGCTGTTTTGAATTTATCAGTTCTGGCAAAATATGATATTTGTTTTATATTTAATGTCACTACTGATATTGTTAGGCTGCTCTGTACAAATTTCCCATGGATTTGGCTGATCTATTGCTGATAAAATACCTGTAAAAAGCGATTCATCTTTTTGGGATGCTCGAAGTTTAATGCCATGATTGTTTACCTGGAAGTGTAATGTCACATAGAGCCAGGAATCCAAGTATGGCTATGGGCACCCAGCAACAGAAATCCGTGACCACAATCCATAGCATTTTTCTTGCCATCTTCATGTCCCGTATGTCAGGTCCAGTATGACTTGTACGAGTGGATCTATGCCGAAGAACGGTGGAGCAGTACATTGCAAGATAGCAGGCCGCTACCAGGAGAAACCCCACAAAAGTGGCCACATTGAATAGAGCGAATGAGTATTCCCATCCTTGGAAATGGAAATTTACTAGAACAAGAGGAAGACAGAATCCATATTGAGAATAGAATGCGTGGGATCCAAAGTAGGTCAAAGGAAGGAGTGGCAATCCAGAGAGAGATACGCATAGAATCCAACCAGAAGCCAAGATGGTGCAGGCTGTGCGTTTGGTTAGATGGAGGCTATGTTTAAATGGAAACACAACCCTGGAGAACCTATCAAATGTCATGGTAACGAGAGTAAAAACTGACATCTGACTTGAAAGAGAGACAACAAATCCAGCTATCATGCAGATCCTTCCATTTACCCATTCCGATTGATTTTCAGCGTACTTTCCCCGAAACCTTATATCCATGGCCGCGATGATAACAATGTATGCGCCCATCAAGAAATCGGAGATTGATAAGTTGATAACCATTATGCGGTTGATGTTAGAACTTTCACTCGTTTGTCGTGCACGCAATCCCATGACTGTAATGTTTCCCAAAAGTATCAGCAGTCCAACTACCCACAGGGCAATTCTCAGCATGTCACTTTTGATAAGGTCCATACATGATGATAAGTAGTCTGGCTGTGGATCACACTTCGGTACTTTTGGGGCTATGCAACACAGTGCCATGTGATCACTGCTTAGCGAAATCAAATTCGATAGATTACCGAACATCTGGCGCTCATATTTGGTGTTGGCCAAAGAGTTGTTACGAAGATCGATGGTTTTCACGTTCGAAATGTGCTTGAACGTATCCTTGCTGATTGTGTGAATGTTACTACCTACAAAGTGCAGAACTTTGAGGGAAAATAAGCCAGAAAACATGGATCCTTTTAAACTACCTCCTTGTATTTTTGTAGAGGACAAGACCAAGGTTTCCAAGTTCTCTAAATGTTCAAAACAACTAGGTTCCAATGTCAAAGGACCTTTGTTGCCTTCGATTCTTAAATCTTTCAAATTCCACAACCCTTTATATACGTCTTTCGTAAGGCCTTCGAGTTCATTGTTTGATAAGTCAAGGGTTTCCAGCCTTTCCAGGTCCTGAAATCCATTCGCCATGATATCTCGTATTTGATTTCCAGACAGGCTAAGTTCTCGTAAATCTTCAAGCCCCTCAAATAGCCCTGGTTCTATTACTGGAATGTGATTGCCATTTAGAGACATGATACTGGCGTCATTTTGCATTCCGAGTTGGGCTGTACCGACACCTTCTGCACTACAAAATATCTGTTTGAATTGTGATGAAATTTGGGTCTGCCCAGTACAGATATTCGACTCAGGATGAGACTTCGGGTAAAAATATCTATTTGGCGGCAGAGCTGCAGCACATATGAAACGATCAGTGATGACATCATTACACTTTCGGGTCGAATAGATACCTGAAGAAACGTCCAGTATTTGACACGTGCTGAAACTCAGCCTCATGCCTGGAATGAAGAAATTAATGAATTTATATTAAGGTATTCAAGTTATACAATTTGAGGGGTTAGTACAAAACATGGCATGGGGCCATGACTCTTTCGTTTTCTTTCTCATTGAAATAATTACAGATAACAAAAGTGAACAAAAAGCTTTTGGTATTTCCTTGAAAATTGAAAAGAAAAACCATACATGTAGATTAGATAATAATAAACTATGCAATTTCCCTGTAAATTTAGGTCAGAATTTCGTGCCACCATCCTTTCACCACTCGTCTTTATTATTAATGAAAAAGTACTGTAAAGTGATGACATTTTGATTCAATCGAACTCTCAAAGCTAGATCATCTTATCTTTTAAATCAAATTAAAGTACCAACGCAAGAAGAATGTCGTTGTGTATTATGTCATTTAAGGAAAAACTGAGGTGACGGCAAATTTTAGCATACTGACGTCCAGGCAGCCCCTTGCTCCTGTATGGATCAAATTGTTCTTAAGTCTACCTGCATAGATGATCTTCGTGGATTCCCTAGCATCAAGTTGCACTACCTCTTTCAACGTTTCCTTTATGCAACGTTGTTTTTCATTGTTTGCCAAATCCGCCCCATAAGACCAACACATCTTTCTTGCATCAAGCCATGTCGTGTTTTTATATTTTGAGATGACTGATCTGTAGCAAACACCATTACAATTGGACCAGCCAGTACCACACTGTGCAACTACAAACAAAAAACACTACATGAGGCCTGTAAGCCACTTTTCTCCAAGGGGGGGGGGGGTGCGGTTTTTACTAAAGAGAATATAAAATTGTCAATCAAATCGCGTAAGTCAGAGGGGGGGGGGGGGGGGGGGGGGTGAGTGGGGCAATTCAGCCCATTTTGTTGTATTTTATTGGTTTCAGACTAAATATTGTATGAGCAATTTGGAGAAACATTGGAATGGGGGAAAATGTGCCAGAAGGGCATACATGTTTACTCGAGAACTTTACTAGTTCAAGATCACACTTTTAAGAGTTTTAATCAATAGTACGAATCAATTTAAAGAAATTCAGAATTTTTCAGATGTATCAGATGCTGGCACAGTTTTGCCGGAAGTTTGCAAGAAGTAACTTTTGGCAATGCAGTATGTTAGAGTAACCTAGTAGGTGTAAGAAAATATAAGGTGATGGCCTTTAAAGTGGTAAAAACAATTTTCACGGCCGAATTGGACAATTGGAATTGGAAATTCCTGCGATTTCAGGGGGTACTATAAGACTATTTCATAACATAAAGGATATAGTTGCTATTGTTCTGCTTTCTACAGCACACATTACTAGTCCAAAGATGAATAATATCCTTAAGTTATAGGCCGATATCTGTATTAGTCTTAGAAATATTGCAATTAATAGGAAAAAAATATGCAATTTTAGTCATTTTTAAGTCTCACGTATCTTATATTTGTAGCTTCCAGCAAAAGATGGCAGCTTAAATAGCTCAAAATTGTTTTCTAAAAACTAATTCAAGCTTTGTTTGATATTGTAATACAATTATAATAATGATAATGTACTATTTATGACTTTTAATGTGACTTTATAGTACCCTACCCCTGGAAAGTGGGCGTGGTCAATGTTATCATTTTGCAGCATACAATTAAAAACTTATATTGATAGAAAGCAAATCAATGCATTTTTAACATTTTCACTTGTTACTTGACATTGTAATTTATTTATTACTAAAATATAGGACTCTACATATTTTATATATACGTTTTCAATTTTGTACAATGTATCATGATGATGAAATCTAATAGGCTGGTTCATTTTCAGTGTTCACTAACGCATGAAATGTAAGTCACAGTGTTTCCAAATTACCTTTGCAATGAGAAAGTACCACAAAGACTACATAATATGAGCAGTTTCAAGGTCCTAATACTAATACTTACCGATCTATCGGCGTTCAAAAATAGAGAAAGCTGTCGTGAGTGCAGTTTTAACTAACTTTGAACTGAAACTGCTGCTTAATGAATATTTTTCTCAACATCTGTGACTTTTTTAGACCCCAAACATAAGATACCAAGACATAATGCTACCAAGTTCTGATATTGGAAGTTTCAGAGCTCTAGATCAAATATTCACTTCTGCATGTACTTTTAAAAAGAGGCAAAAGGACAAAAAAAACTGTCAGATATCGTGAAAAATATGAAAGATGCACTATTCAGAACAATTTATCTCTTAAATGTTACTTTAATTTGACATAATTTCTGATTCTGCCTCCAGTTAGTACCACCAATAATACATATGAGAAGACTTAACGTCATAGTAAGTGGAAGTACAGATCTATTGGCTTCTGAAAATGGGAAAAGCTGTAGCAAGTATGATTTTCACCAGTTTTTCATCTAAGACTGCAACTTTCTGAATTTTCTTTTTACAAACTGCACAGTAAGACCAAAGACATAAAAGGAAACCTGGTCATTGTACCACCAATAATAGGTAAAAATAATATTGGTAATATATACCAAGTGTTTACTTTAATTCCAAGGCATCTGAATTGATAAATAAATGAAATCAGTACTTTATTGTATCTTGGGACAAAATACACTGTTTGAATGCTTAAGCTTGACATCACAGTATCAAGTGAAAGATACGTTGTTATATATAGAGGATATCCTATGATTTATGAGTGATATGATTTTTATCCACGAATGGATATGATATCTGCACGAGCGAGCGTAGCGAGAGAGTGCAGATATCAATATCCATGAGGCATGTGGCTCTGCGGCTGCGTGCTGCAGAAAAACCGAGTGTATTATTTGTACAATAATGTTATCGTATGTACATGCTGGTTGCCAAAATGTGGCTCTGCGGCTGCGTCGCCGCTGGAAAATATACAAAAATGTTAATAATGGACAATTGATTAGCTTACTCGATAATGTAGTAATAACAAATCTCATTTTCAAACTTAAAAAATTTCCGACCACCTGTAAAACCTTTTCTATCTTTAGCATCACACACTCATTAATGCCCATTATTATTCTGTTGAGAACATGATGCTAAAAATCTTTGAATTCCATAGTTAAAGTCATCATCAGAATTGTCGGAAATTAAGTCATTTAATTCGAATTTTCCAAACGATCTGGCGATGTTGACACTTAGCCTCGTTTTGAGTCTGAAGTAGCAAAAATCCATTAACCATCGCATACGACGTCGTATGTCATGGCTAAAAAACCGTATGCTATGGTTAAGTGAAAATTTGTCAAAAATATCATATTTTACCACTGATTACAAAAATACCGTTTTTATTTTCACATGTTATCCAATGAATATCATGCTAACTATGGAATAAACAGCTATATATCACTTCAACTGACTTTACTCTTCAATTTGAAATATGCCTGGCCATTCTAAGAAAAATGCGACGGAGGGCAAAGAGGGTGCATGGTATAATCGGTAATTAAGTTCTTCTAGAGTTTAAAGCTCCCACAATTTTTAAAAACGAAATGGAGAATAACATGTGAAAGTATAGGATGGACTAATTGTTCTGAGAAAGTTTTTGAAAGTAACATTGCATGGAATATTTAAGCAAGAGATATGTTCCAAAATACTTTCAGGTAGAAATAAAGCTCCGTAATGTAAAAACAATGTATTCTCAGTATTCAATAATAACATTCTTTATAGGTTTTTTGGTCTTAAGCATATCAGTGATTATCCCATGGTTGCAAGAATATAGATCGAATATCACATGAAGATATATTTGATATGTGGATCAAGTTATAATATTTTAGCAAAAAATTCACAAACCATCGAATATCACTTTTAAACCATTGAATATCACGTCTTAAAAAGTGATATTCGGTGGTTTGAAAAGTGATATTCCATGGTTTCGATTTTTTTCAAAAAAAAAATTATTTTTACATTTTTTAATTATTTTCAAAAATATTTTTAAAAAATTCAACATTTTTTCACAATTTTTTTCAAATATTTTTTCAAATTTTTTCTCGAATTATATTTTTCACATTTTTTCGCTGATGATGATTTCCCATGGGATAAATTTTTTTTTTCAAAAATAATATATAAATGATATTTTTTCAAAACCATAGGATATTCCTATATTATATCAATTCGGATGCTGAAGTCACTTAATAAATAATAACTAGATGTAACTCCTAGTAAGCACTTCAAGTTTCAGTTCTAAATAAAATACAGTTCAGTTAAAAAATTGTTAAGAATACATACATTTTTTCACAATCACAATTTCACCATTTCTGACTGTATTTTGCATATTTTTAGGTGTCAGTGGTTCAATGATTATTTGATATAACCTCCTGAAACTACTCTCATATATATTTGGTGGTACAGTGATATGGTATCCTGTCTTTTGGGGTCTCACGGAATTCTTGTTTTAGAGAAGAAAATCCTGAAAGCTGCAGTTTAATATTATGAATTATAGGTGAAAATTGCACTTGCTACACTGCTTCTCCCATTTTTAGATGCTAATAAATCTGTAACTACACTTACTATGACCTTAAGTCTACTCATATGTATTAGTGGTATTACTAACTAGAGGCAGAATCAGAAATTATGGTAAATAAAAGTAAAATTTAAGAGATAAATTGTTCTGAATAGTGCATTTTGTCACATTTTTTTGCGATATCTGACTGCATTTTGTGTCTTTTTAAGAGTCCATGCAGATATGAATACTTGATCTAGAGCTCTGAAATTTTCAATACCATAATTTGGTAGCACTATGTCTTGATATCCTGTGTTTGGACTCTAACCAAATCACAGTTGTTGAGAAAATTTTTTTTAAGTAGCAGTTTTAATTCAAAATTAGTTGAAACGGCACTCAAGACAGCTTTCCTCATTTTTGAAAGCTGATAGATCGGCAAGCATTTACACCATGATCTTGAATCTGGGCATACATATTCTTAATGGCACTATCTCATTGCCCAGATATTGTGGAACCATTGTGACTTATATTCCATGTGATAGTAAGCACTGAAAATGGACTTGTTGCATTGTGGCGGACCCCATACAAAACAAACATAGGGGTAGGGGGGGGGGGGTTTAAACGTTGATCAGTTCTGCTATTTTTTGTGGCTATTGGTCATATAGTAGATCATTTTGTCAAAAGGTAAGGGTGATCCGAGAAAAAGTTTGTAAATTGAAACAGCCCATTAGATTTCATTATGATACATTGTACAAAATTGAAATTGTATATATAAAATATGTAGAGTCCTATATTTTAATAATAAATTAATTACATTGTCAAGTAACAAGTGAAGATGTTTTATATGCATTGATTTGCTTTCTATCAATACAAGTTTTTAATTGTATGCTGCAAAATGATAACATTGACCACGCCCACTTTCCAGGGGTAGGGTACTATAAAGTCATATTAAAAATCATAAATAGTACATTATCATTATTATAATTGTATTACAATATCAAACAAAGCTTGAATTAGTTTTTAGAAAACAATTTTGAGCTATTTAAGCTGCCATCTTTTGCTGGAAGCTACAAATATAAGATACGTGAGACTTAAAAATGACTAAAATTGCGTACTTTTTTCCTATTAATTGCAATATTTCTGAGACTAATACAGATATTGGCCTATAACTTTAGGATATTATTCATCTTTGGACTA